ATTGATCATTGCCTATCCATTAATTTTTTTTTCTTTTTTTAAAATTTATTTATTTTTTTGAGATGGGCTCTCACTATATTGTCCGAGCTGGACTCGTACTCCTGGACTCAAAGAATCTTCCTGCCTCAGCCTCCCGAGTAGCTACATGTGCATACCACTGCTTCTGGCTAGATCCGTTAATTCATTTAGAGTTGCAAAATGATGTTCCAAGCCTGTAGTTCCTCCTTCATTTATTAGCTGAGGTACTTCTATAAAGGGAAACTTCCCCTTACGGATTATTTGGTTACTTTGAGGTACAGTTTATCTAGTAAAGGCAGGATAAATGCTTGATTCTTTTCCTCCCTCTCTCCCTTCCTTCCTTCCTTCTTGCTCTATCACCCAGGCTAGTCTTCAACTCCTGGGCTCAAGCGATCCTCTCACCTCAGCCTCCTGAGTAGCTGGGATTACAGGTGTGAGCCACCACACCCACTGCTTGATTCTTTTGCTTTATTTTCCAGTTTTCAAAATAATGAGTTGGTGGTTCACTAGCATCTTCTAAAAGTGATCAAAGACGGTGGTTTGTTTTTCGTTTGGAGAGTATTATGAACTCATGGGTTTAAACTTGATTGATATTTTTCAATCCATTGCACTTATTTTTTTCATTGACACACAGATTATGTCCCATCTTTGGTTATGGAGAGTTTATTCAAATTGGCTCCTGAATTTTTTTTTATAATATTCATTATAGTCTTTGATAGCTTCCTTGCTTTCTAGTATTGCAGATTATTCCACGCTCATATTTTTCCCTATCCCAGATCTTGAACCAACCATTTCTTCAAGGAGCTCTGGTTTTATTTTACTGGGAAGTGGTATTTAAAGGTATTTATTTGGGTGCTAGGGATGGATGCCACTGGGTTAGTCATTGTTTCTAGGCTTTTTCAGCAGAGCTAGGAATTATTAATATTATTATTTTCTTTTTAAAGATAAAATATAAGTAGCCAGGCCCATGCCTCTAATACCAGGTACTCGGAGAGTTTAGGCAGGAAGATCACTTGAGCCCAAGAGTTCGAGACCAACATGGGCAATATAGTGAGACCCCATCTCTCAAAAAATGAAAAGCTATTTTTCTTTTTATTATTTTTTCTAGAGACAAGTCTCGCTGTGTTGTCCAGGGTGGTCTTGAACTCCTGGCCTCAAGCAGTCCTCCCTCCTTAGCCTCCCAAAGTGCTGGGATCACAGGCGTGAGCTACCTCACCCAGCCATTTGCAGGTTTTTACTTAACTTCAATTGTTCATCTATTTCTCCCATTCAAAAATCTCATGCATGCAGTGGCACATGCTTATATTCCCATCTACTTGGGAGGCTGAGGTGGGAGGATCGCTTGAACTCAGGAGTTCAAGGACAGCCTGGACAACATAGCAAGACCCCATCTCAAAAAATAAAAATAAAAGAATGTCCAACTCGACTGTTATTAAGGAAGCTACACCCTTAGGCAACAATATATTCAGTCCACTTCATGGCAGCAGAGCTGATAGATGTTTGAATGAGGAGCCTTTAGTGCGATAGTCTGGGTGTCTTGTCCGTGTTGGCCCCTAGGCTCTGTTTCTCCCAATAATGGTGGCCTATGCTGAATAACAACTCACGGGCATTCTACAGGCTTCTGGAGGACCCGGAGCAATAGCCATTCAGAGGGTGGCAGAGCAGTGGAGACCCCAGTGCAGTGGCCAAGAGCATCCTTTTCCCCTCACGGCCATTCTAGAAGCTGCTTTGCCAAAACAAGGAGGCTGTGGCTTCATGCTCTGTAGATCTTGGGCAAATGGCCCTCTTGTTCTCTTCCAGTAGATACTAAGGAGAACTTAATGAATTCATGCAGCCTGTGGCTTCATTGGGAGTTTTCTTTCGCCTAGCTATAGTTAACAGCAGAGCTTTGGCAGGATACCAGATGCTACACTGATTTGTGTCAGGCTACACCTTATTTGAAAGTTTATTGACTGATTGCACCACTGAGATCTAGAAATTACAGTGAGGATTTAAGAAGTTTGTAGATAGCTCTGCTAGGTAAAGCAGATTTTAAAATTTAAGAACTGGTTTTGTTTTGTTTTGTTTTTGCCTGATTTATGGCTTGTATCTAATGTGTTTTAAATAATGCAACAAACTAACACTTGAAGCTCCTCCGTTGTTGATTTTCATCCATTAAATTTACTAGCAATTGAAAAGATTTAAGACCTGTATCACCTGTGAGACCTGCAACTCCTCATCAGGCTTCTTTTACACTGTAATTTGTAATTTCAGTAATGTATCTTCTAATCTGAAATCAGTTGTAAATTCACCTTATAGTTCTTTGCATTAAACTGGATTAACCATTGTAAATGATTGAGATGGTTTTTTTTTGACAGACTTAAAATGTTGGATTATTTATGTATGTATACCTTGCCTGCTAAACTAGATTATGACAGTTTCAGTGTAGCACTCTCCATTTAAAATATTTGTGGTTCGTGATTAGCAAAATAGATCATTTCAGTAGGGCGAAAACAGACAGCTTCTATTTACTAGTGTTCATGGCAGGGTGTAAAATTACCTAATGCTAGGGGCCTGTGAAGTTGAATTTAACTATTAATTTCTTAAGACCTGATCTTGTATTTTACTGCAGCCCTGCCCACTAGGAATTTTTATTTACAAACAAGTGGAGACTGGAACAGTTGCTGTAAGCCATACTTAAGTTAATCTTTAATCACTTAAAAATCTTGCTTGAGGATGTCTGGAGTATAAATTATCTGTCTCTTGAGTGACTAATTTCTGTAGTAAAGTAAAACGAAATTCAAAGCATTGTGTATGTGTGTGTGCATATTAAAGCAATTCATTTGATTGACCAACGTCTGTGGAAAACTGGGGCCAAGGTGCAAGGTGGAGGAGCCATAGCTGAGATGGGGAAGTTTTCATTTTGGTCCCAAGCTAGCAGGGTAATCATTGTCTATTGTGTTGTTTCTTACTCCCTCAGAACTTTGAAAGTAGATCCTTGATGGAACTCTTTGGCGAGGACCTGTTTTCTCTGTTAATTTCTAGAAATGATGAAGAGTCTGTTCTTAATTTTGGAGAAAGAGTTTTGTAGGTCAGGTTTAGCATGACAAATAAGAAACAACAGTATCTTCACTTTGCTAGTTGGAATTAGCACAAATGATTGCTACCTCTGTGAGAAGAGAGATGAAGTGCTCACCTTTCAGCCATGCTTGCAGGTGACCTTTGGTATGCCGGTTGGTGTCCCATTCCAGTGAGCTCTCCATGACAACGGCCTTGGGTGTTGCGAGGGAGAATGGGGGGTCTGATTCTTGACCCCCCATCATGCTCCCCAACACCACCATTTCTTCCTTTCCAGCTTAGTCATCTTGTTTTAAAAAGACTCACAGTAAGCTGTGGAAGTTGTTTCTTATGCTACGTGATTGAGTAATAACAGTACTACTGTCTCAGTGTCAATATGAATTTGTCTCATCTTGTCTGAAACATAATTGAATAAGTTCAGGTTTAGACAGGTCTTAGAGTCCACTATTCATTTCTCAAGAGCAGGTTCTTACACAGAGAGAGAGAGAGAGAGACACACACACACACACACACACCCTTTTGTTTTCTGGTCCTTTTCTTTCTTCTAAGCTTGTTTTCTAGCATTTTTTAATTTCTGATTTTTATTAGTTTTTGGTATGAAGAGAAAATATAGATTGTTGTTTTAGAAATAACATTTCTGATATTACTTTGTTTCCTAGCTTAGAATAAACTCGCTATTTTGTGGTGTATGTACACAGTGCCGGGCTGCTGGTTAGTTCCTGGAAGGCCTCACCCAGTAATTGCAGCTTGCTCTCTACGTGTGTGTGCATGTGCTCCGTCAGCGTTGGCAGGTAGAATTGGAATTATCAGTAGCACAGTTACCGGATTCCTTTTTGCAGGAAAAGATCTTCAAACCTGAATGGGTGTTTTCTCTTTTTGAGCCTTTTTCCTTACTCTACTCACCTGCTCATTTTGCTCCTGACTTTAGAATTGTCTTAATTTTTTAAAGTTTTGATAAATTTTGTCAACAAGTACAAATCTGTCTCTTAAAACAGTGTCCATGGTATATATGGTCTTAGCCAACAGTCATTTAAAAAAAAATACTATTCAGAAAGTTTTTGCTTTAAAGAAATAAGTTTTAAATACAGTGGTGTCGTTTGGTTTTTTAAATGGAACTTGAGTCCCTCTAGTGGGTAGGGTGTGATTCACCTTCAGCTTGAGATAGAAAGGAAGATGACAGTCTTGATTCTCGTGGAAACAGCTTTCAAATCCAGCGTGCTTGTTGGTGCTGGTATCCCCATCCCCAGCTGATGGGCAGTGCTTAGGTAGCTATTGGCTTTGCCCTAGCATCAGCCAAGATTTAGCAGACCTCCTCTTCTGCCCATGTGACCTTAGTGGCTCTGGTCATTCCTTGCATGTGATCTTGTAAGCTGTGGTTCACTGGCTGCTTTATTTCAAGCCTCAGCAAGTATAAATTCAAAGTACTAGTTGGTGATTTTTATGCCATGCAGTTCTTCATAGAAAAGAGCACAATGTACCCAGGGTCCTTGAGTTGCCATGAAATAAAGAATTGTACAGGCCTGCTTTGGGCACAAAAGGTACGTTAAGAATATTTAGCAACTGGAGGAGTTATATACTGATAGTCAGAAGAGAGGCAGCATGGTATGGTTGGAAAGAACCTGGGTTTGGAGTTCAAATCCTAACTTAGTTTACTAGCTGTGTGACCTTGAGCTGTAATGACATAGCCAGCCTTTCTGTATTTTTGTTTTCTCTTTTGTAAAATGGGGAGATGATAAAACTATCTTGCAGGGTTGTTTTAAGTATTGGAAATAACACGTGCAAAGGCCTTCACGTTTTTTTCTTTTTTTGCTCTATGATTGGTAGCAGAAGTCATGGAAGTTTCTCTAGCTGAGTCTATTATGCTGCATGGGATTTAATTATTTGGATAACTTTCTTCTCTTCTCCATGCTTTGTTTTTCTTTCAGTCACCACCAAGTAAGCGAAGAAAATTAGAGAAGCCAAGGAAACCCATTACGTTTATAGTGTTGGCATCTGTGATGAAAGAATTATCCCTCAAAGCATCTTCTTTGGGCTCTGAGACGGTGGAAGGCATAGTGGTTGTCACAACATGGATTGAAAAAATTCTCACCGATCTGAAGGTATCTGGTAATCACATTGACAAAGTACCCGTAATAATCTTTCTGTTTTCTTTTTAAGGGGAATTTGAAGAGAAGGGAAAAGTGATTTCCTATAAAATTCTGTTTTTCCTCCAAATAGGTCCAGCATAAACGAGTTCCCTGTGGAAAAGAGGAAGTTAGCCTGTTCCTGACAGCCGTAGAAAACTCTTGGATTCATTTAAGGAGAAAGAAAAGAGAGCGAGTGAGACAATTGAGAGAAGTTCCTAGAGCTCCTGAGGATGTCATTCAAGCCTTGGAAGAGAAAAAGTCCACCCCCAAAGAGTCCGGCAATAGCCAAGAATTGGCCAAGGATCCCCGGGAGGGTGCCCTGTGTGGGCCTGCTCTGCAGGAAGGCGAGCCTGCCGCTGTTGAGGGCCACTGCCTGAGCCAGGAGTCACTTTCCCAGGAGGAAACCCCAGAACCCATGGAGGATGAAAGGAGTGAGGAAAAGGGAGGGATGGAGGTTTTGGAAAGTTGTAAAGGCTCTAGCAATGGAGCCCAGGACCAAGAGGCTTCTGAGCAGTTCAGCAACCCAGTGGCTGAAAAGGGCAAACATCTCCAAGGAGTGGCTGGACATTACCTGTTTAAGTGTTTGATAAACGTTAAGAAGGAGGTGGACGATGCCTTAGTTGAAATGCATTGGGTCGAGGGCCAGAACAGGGATTTGATGAACCAGCTTTGTACCTATATACGTAACCAAATTTTCAGGCTTGTGGCTAGTTAACTCCAAACTCCTTGCACAGCTGGAATAGTATAAAGCAGCTTGTTTTGGAGTGTCCTGTAGGGTGGCAAGAGGAATTCCACATTGACCCATTAGAATTATGTGGAGTTTAAAAAAAAAAAAAAAAATCCCCCAAACCAGAAACCAATTAATTCATTTTTAAACCTCTCCCGGCCCCACCCAGCTTTTTTTAAGGTTACAGGGAGTTGTAGTGTGGTAGTTCAGGAGGAAGAATTATATTAGCAACAGCAAAAAGCCATCAGTAAACTCATGAGGGATTTAAAGCCAACTTAAGCTGGTCCCTGCAGCTTTGGACTGGTTGTCTGAGGCCAAAGGGATTGTTGGTGGAGTCTGGCCTGGGCAGCACTGCCCAGAGCATCATATTCGCTGCTTCTTGAGGAAGGGTGGCTCTCTTGGCCTACAGTTAGGGCAGATAGGCCCTGATTCTCTCTTCTAGGTCACGCTTCGAGACTGACACTGGCTCTGGGTGCATGTGATTGATTGACCCTGTGCCAGTCCTAAGCAAGGAACTGGCCCAGTGGGAGAGTCAGGGAGGAAAGCTTAGTAATGCCAGAAAGAAGGGCAGATCTGGGGAATGGCGCATTCCTGACTCAGGCTGTTTTGATGTTTATTTCAGGAGCAGAATGAGGTAAACAAAACTCCTAGGTGTGACTGAGACACAGCAGGACGCACCCATACCCCCACCCCCAGCCTGTCAGAAGCACCGTTTTATAGCACTTCACTGCTGTGTGATTTTTGTTTTGATATTTGAAGTGAAACTTGTTTCGTTTTTAATATAAGAATATTTAAAATTGAAAACTGTCAATTCTGTTTGAATCGTGGGGTTAGGGAAAATATTTTCTTGGCTCTGAGTGGGTAAGTGATTGATGATAGAAATGAGAATGGAGCAAGAGAGTATGTGCAATAGGTAGCTCACGAAAGTCATATCTATTGGCAGATGATTCATTACTGATCAAATTATGCATTTTGTGGCTTCACTTGTAATCCTCTCTGTGCTTACCTACTTACACTGGGGAATTCTGAGGCCTGGGTCACCATCCATGTCCTTAAAACATGCTTCTATTCGAAATGCCAGGGTGCAGCAGAAATACCTCTAGAAAAGGAGTCTCTTTTTTTGGTCTCTCAATAACCGTCTGCTGTGCTTGACTTTTATAGCTCGATTTTACATCAGCGGCCTAGGGTTCTATTTAGACCAAAATCTTTGAGTATAGTGCCAGAGCTCCTTGCCATCTGCAAAGAAGACTGGTGCTGGGTCGCTAGGCCACCCTTTCGAGAGGTGGCTGTTGGTTAGGGCAGAAAGCTGATGACCATGGCATATCTTGGCAGCAGCTAGATCAGGCCCTCCGCAGAAATACAGGAAATGGAACTAGTATGCTTCCCTCTGGCAGTGGAGCTGGAGCTAGAGAAGACAGCATATTGACCAATGTTCTTAGCCTGGTCTATGGCCCTCCAGATAATCTAGAAGCTTCCTGGAATTATTTCTAAAAGCCCTGCAAGCATATGTATTTTGTTATCACCCCCCCCGCCCCCAGAGAGGGTCTATGACATAGGTCAATAATCCACTAAGGATTAAGAACCAATACTTTAGTCCAACCATTCATTTGACAGGATGAAGAAACTGACACCCAGGGTCACACAGAGCCAAGATTCAATCCAGGGCCGTGGTCCCGTAATTTTCTGCTATACCAGCCCATACCATCCTGGTGTACTTACCTCTGATCAATACCACATTGGCGTCATATGCCGGACCCAAACTTAGTTTTCTTGACATAGTTTTAGGATAATTGAGTTAAGCGGCAGCTGTTCATTCAATAAGTAGTCAATAAGAACTTATTGTTTGATTGTTTGTTTTATTATGAAAGAGTAGCACATGCTCATTAAATAAGATTTGGAAAAATGAAAGTCAAAAACTACAACAAAACCACCCCCAGTTTGAACCGTGTCTTACACAGCCACTATTGGTATTTATGTGTTTCTGTCCAGTCTTTCTACAGATGAGGTTTGTGAATGAGTGGTTTTAACTTTGGTTGTACTCAAGCTGGATACTCAGTTTTATATTATGTTTTGTTTCATTTAATGTCTTATAAGTATTTTTCCATGTTATAATAGTAGTATATTTATTTACACTTCTTGCCTTTTCAATGTGTCTGGCACAGTATTGGCCTTTAAGTCTAGTTCTTAGCGATTCCCAGAGAATACTCTGTGTAACTGGAGGCACAAAATGTGTGTCTGCGTCTGTATGTATTTTAGTCCCTAGGTTTAAGGATTGGTGTCATGGAGGAAGTTTTATAGCTAATAATCTCAGAATTTAAAAATTATGTGACAAGGGAGACTTCCACAGTCTTGGAAGTACTAGAGCTCTGAGTGCCTTTCTTGCATTTGGATGTCGTCATTTCCTTCTCTGGGAAGAATAGTTTATTTCTTAGACTATCTAGTGAGAGAACATTGAAAACATTTTAAAAGAACATCTCCAAATTGTTTGGTCATGCATATGCTTTATAATTGTGTGATTTGTGATAGCATGTATCTCCAGCATAGGCGGAAAGGATCTTTTTCTTTAAAGAAATAGGTTTATTGACCCACATGTCATAATGTTGAGTGATACTCTCCTTAAGTGTCTAGAGGTCAAGTTCATGTTGGTGGCTTGGCATGAAATTAAATCCTTGTGGTATTATCTTAAATGCTATTCTGGCCCCTAGAATTGGCTTCTGATCTCTTGATAACTAAAATGGGAACAGAAGCGGAGCTTGTTTTCTGAGGTGAACTAAAGCTGCTTTTGTTCCTTGGAATCTGTTTTGCCTCCATCAGTTTGGTTCCCTCCTCCCACATCCTTGCCCGACCATTCCCACACCAGAGCTTTGCTGTGTGTCCTAGCAGGATTGACAGCTCTGTGATGGCATTTCAGCTAATCTCAGGGCTTCACGTGGATTAGTATATATTTTTAAAAACATAAAATGTCTCTTCTCTTGATGGAAATCAAAGCTTATCATGTGAGCACTTGAACTTCTAAGTTCTGATAGGAATAATAAAACTGGAAAGTGTGGAAAAGATGCAAAGCCTCTGGAAAATCCGAGGCCTTTTAAAAGAAGAGAGTTGGTGAATTCTTGACTGGCTGCTGGAGCCCCTCCACCGTCCCGAAACCACAGCATTTCCCTCTGTAGCCACACGGGGGCATCTTCGGCCCTTTTATCAAGTGCCTTACCCACTGTGGGAATGGATAAAATTGTGTCTGTAGTATTTTCTTGAAATAGCCAGTTGCTACCCAGATTTGTATTTTTGTGTAAACAAGTACATTTTCACATAAACAAAATTTGAAAAATAAGAGTAAAAAGAAAACACTATCTATGGTCTTATCTGGCATAATCCCTTTCAACCTTTTGATGTTTTTTATGGTCCCAGTTGACTATTTTTTCTTTTCTTTCTATCTGCCCTTCTACTCTAGAATATATCTAGACTGGGCCAGTCCTTTGGATCAACTTTTTATTGGTATTCCAGTTAATGGGGATACTGGAGGGGAAACGCTTAGTTATCTTAAAACAGTGACTTCTCAGAAGCCTTTTGTTTCCTTTCTCTTTGTCCCCATAAAATCAGCAAGCCACTTGGCCTCAGCGCTGGCACCTCCCTTCTCTTTCTTTGGGATGCCGTGCCATCTCTCTCTCTTCTCTCTCTCACTCTCTCTCCTTCTAAGAAGATGAAATAAACTTTTTACTTACATATATATCCTAATCTCTGCATGAGAAAATCTTGCTCCTGCACCATGAACACCTATTGAGTTTTCCACCCTTACAGTTTTTAGTGGTCCCCGTTGACTATTTTTTCTTTTCTTTCCATCTGCCGTTCTATTCTAGAATATATCTAGGCTGGGCCAGTCCTTTGGATCAACTTTTTATTGGTATCTAGTTAATGGGGATAGTGGAGGGGGAACGTTTAGTTGTCTTGAAACAGTAACTTTTCAAAAGGCTTTTGTTCCACAGCCTTTTGTAACATAGAGATCTCAGGAGAGAAACTGTCTTTAATGTTCTTCTGTCGATTCTTGTTTGGGTTTATCTGGCTGGCTGACTAACATGCATGTAATGTGTTGTTTAAATCCGAAGTCAGTGAGAGTTCTGTGTGGTGCATATTATATAGGTTATCTAGGCCTTGTTTCTCACAAGAGGTGTTTCTGTGTAGAATATGTGTTACGGACCCTGGGGTCTGTGTGGGCTGGCACAGGATCTGATGTTGTGGGTGGCCGCTCAGCAGTTCTGCATATCAGGGGAAAGAAGGTCCAGTTTGGAAAACTAAGTCAGGAGCCCTCTGGAAGAAGCAAAGTCTCAAAGGTGCAGCAGTTTTACAGCCAGCCAGGGGGTGCCCTGAGGAAAGGGACGTGACCACATTGTCGGGAAGTTGGTGCTCAGCAGATTTGGTTTGCTGAATGGGCATTAACCTCAGTAAAACCCAGAAGAGGCTTAATTGAATGAACTGGCTTCTGCCTTGTGGAGCAGGGCATTGCTGGTCCCCAACCTTTCTAATAATCCCAAGTACACACCTCTGGTGCAGCGCCAGCGCAGCGTAGAGAGCCCTGCACGGCCAAGCCCACTAACAGTGGGGCGCCACACGCATACCACAGAGTTCCTGCTCTGCTCTGTGGAGACATTCAGATCCTCTGCTGTGACTCACCCAAATGACTAAAACAGCGGTTGATTTTTTTAATTGCTGGTTGGAACAGCTAACGCTCCGTTTTGGAACAGCTAATGCTGCCTGTTGGAGGCTGTGCTTTTTACTCCAGGAACTATGTTGTGACTGAGCGAAGCCCTTGCACCTCCCAGTGCCCTCTGAGGTGCAGCTTACCTGCCTGTCTCAATCCAAGCAGAAACATCAGGGACTCCGGGCTTTCTTCGGGGAAGTAGAGGATCATGGGTGCCTGTTATGAGCAGGGAACTGAGTGAAGAAGGGCTGGAGCAGACAGCACAGTTAGTCGTGGCAGAATTGGCTTGTGTATGATGCTCTGAAGAGGGCAAAGGCTGTGTAAATCCAGGATACGTTTCCATCCACCGCAGGGGAGCGAAAGGAAAGAGCACAGGCTATGCAGTTCATCAGGCCCGGGTTCACACTCCAGTTCCATTCCTCATGTGGGTAAGTCAGTTGTCCTAGGCCTTGGCTTCCTCATGTAAAAGGTGAGGGATTCTTGCTTCACAGAGTCGTAGCAGCACTTAGGTGAGAGAAGGCCTGAAACACCCAGGACAGGGCAGGAACAAAGAGCAGGCTTCTCCACTTGCTCATTTCTTCTGTGAGTTTTTGATTTCTGGTCGGAAAATCTTCTAAGTGGACTCAAATGAAAAGGACTCAAATGAGTTATATACCTCAGGTATATAACTGCAGGTGTAGCGTACAACCTCTTGACCAGAAGCAAAACCCACGCTTCCATGTTACGGAGGATGGAACAGGGGACTGATATTAGACTGTCCACCTTCTACATGGATTGTCTCATTTGATAACCCTGTAAGGTGGTGTGGTGTCCCTGTGTGATGGCTGACGGCAGTGGAAGCTCAGAAAGCTCCGATGACCTGCCCTAAGGTCATCCACAAATCTAAGTCATAGAAATGGAATTTGAACCCAGGTCCAAGAAGCTGAGACTGCGATCTTGTGCCATATGTCAGAATTCTATGAGAAGTGCTGTACTTAGGATGGAAATGTACTTCCAGGCTCATT